AGTTGGGTCACTCACTGGTGCCAAGTGTCCATTGGCCTCATACTGGTCAAGCTGTGCCTTAACTGCTTGTTTTAATGCCACCGGCACATTGCGTGGTGCACATTGGACTGGAGGGACACTCAAATCAAGGTCGAAATGAACTCCCCTGGTACAGATTCCACTGGCCCAGTAAACACATCACTAAATTCCTTTAGCAGCAGTTGTTTTGTCAAGGGCCCCTTGGATAGATTGTCCATCACATTAAGCTCTGCAGGGACAGAGAAATGTATCAGCCCTAGACGCTCACAGGTTGAGCCAGACAACAGTGGCTTTTGGCAGGCTTCCACAATTTCAAACTCCAGCTTGTGTGTTAGTCCATGTATGGCACATTCTGTCTTGAAGAGCCCTAGAGATTTCATAATCGCACCTGAGTATAACTTTAACCTGGTGTCACTTGGCAGTAGACGTGCTTCTGGTGCTAACACCATTTTGTCTCTTAAGCACATTACATCACAAGTTGCTCCTGAATCGAGCTGGCAGGATTGGGGCTTATTATTTAAATGTAAAGTGACAAACCATTTCTTTCCTCTGGATTGCACAGTGCCGATCAATTCACTGGTGTATATAACTTCAGTGGTGTGTGTCTCTTCCTCATATGTGGATGTGTTTCTCCACATTGTGTAATTTGCCTATTGATGGCCGTCGTTTACTTGAAAAACAAACGTTAGCAAAATGGTTTGTTCTTCCACAAGACTTACAAGACTTCCCATAAGCTGGACACTGCTCTTTAATTCTTTGATGCACAGTCCCACAGTATTTGCAAGCCGTAGGGTTGGCAGTATTTGTGCTCATCAGGCGGCGTTGCTGCAGTTTGTTTATGTTGCGATGCTGCATTGCAATGTTTATGCTGTCGGTCTGCTGTCTGTCCTGTTCCATAACTGTCAGTGAGCTCTGCTGTACGGCACGTCTCAATGGCTGTGTGTAGAGTTAACTCGTGTACTCTTAGGAGGCGCCTGCGTGTGCTCTTGCTAGCTATACCAAGAACAATTTTGTCCCTTATCAATTCGTCTCTGAGTGTGCCATATTCACAAGTTGCTGCCTTTTCTCTCAAGTGTGTAACAAAGTTATCAAAAGATTCTCCCTCTTCTTGTTTGCAGCATCCAAACACATACCTTTCATAAATGACATTTTTAGCAGGTTTGAAATAAGCTTCCAGTGCATTTAGAATGGCTGTAACATTGTGTTGCTGATCTGCTGTGAGGGTCAGATTGTGTTTATACACATGCCTGCATTCACTGCCCATGACTCTTCTCAGGGTTGCTGCCTGCACTACTGCAGATTTCTCATTCAAGCCTGTAGCCAGAGAATAATCTTCAAAGTCAGCTCTGAAAGATTCCCATTTGCTGCTCCAATCCCCACTCATTGTCATCCCCTCTGGGGGAGGTATGCAATTCATGGCGGCCATATTGTCAGTAAGCCTCTGAGCTATCAAATATCAGAAAGTCCACAGTCTCAGGCTGTAGTTCACAAACTGTGTTTCCCAAAGCTGCTGTGCTCCAAACAAGAGGCTCAGTCCTGATTCAAGTCACTTCTGACACCATGTTTCATGTACAGGAATGCAGACAACACAAGATGCTGGTGTGAGGAATCATGTTGTACACAGAACTACATCCAGGTCAGCATAGAACAGGAAACAGGAAGTATAAGGCAATGCAATATTACCATATGCAAGTAGGGTCACAGTATTTGCATAATAACTCTATAACACAGGCTGAGATTCAAGACATGTATGGGCAGGCTGAATGCACTCAACTTGATCAATCAATCAACTTGGGTACAACCAGCCTGTTGGATTTTCCATGCAATTATTGCCAGTAGCCCCCTGCTGGGAGAACACAATGGCTCTGTGGGAGGGATTCCCCCATCCACACTGTGTAGATGGGGGAATCAAGCTATTTCATTTCCTGCAAAAGACAATTGCTACATCAACGGCCAGCTTTACTGCTGACTAAGTCACTTCATCTGCTGGAAGTTTGTTCTTCACATCAACTACTTTTTCTGCAAAATAATACATTTGAACGTTGGCTTTGAACTTTTTCTCCTGCTAGTTTGAGGTCTGTACACTCTGTAAGAAACTCATAGTGTGCAGTGAATTCAAAGCAAGCATTTTCAGTACAGTGTGCAACTGTGCAAAACTGAAGATAAGGGCGGAGTTCAGATTGAAGGTGATTCTGTAACCAATTTAAGATCACAGAAAAATCATGCATTTTAAATGCTTACTTGCAGTCTTTTTCTTTTCCATAAATGATTTTTATTAACTTGCGATGTGCTTCTGAACTTCCTAGAAAATGTGAATACTCCAGGGGAGTCAGTTTGCTTAGCACATTTCCCTCGTTGCATGTTATAACCTTCTCCTCCTCTAAGAAGTGTCTGTGCTGGCCCAGCTCCTTTATCCTTCACCTCCATAGTCCTTTATGTGAAGAATGCAGCAAAGGTGAATACTGCAGAGTTTCTCTTGATTGCAAGCTCTGAGTGTGCTGGGGCTGCTGACATCACATCCAGGATTTCCACGCAGGCTTTTACAGCTGGATAAAATACATGAAATGCACAAATAGTCTTATGGGAAGATTTTTGTTGAAACGAATGGTCTTGTATCATGGTCGATTCAAGTTTGTGAAAGAGGAAAAGGCATATTGCTATTTTTATGGAAAATTCAAGGCACCTATAAAAGAAAAAACTTGGTTTGGTAAACAGAAATACAGTATTGATTTAAAATTGCTAACCTTAATTTTATTTGATAAAAATGTAAAGTTAATTTAATGTATTTTAAAGTTTACACACCTACAGTCCTGCTTTAGCTTAAATTCCTATCTTCGTATGTGCAGCAAATTAAAGAGTAAACCCTGAGCCCTGGCTCACACTGATGCGGTGCAGAATTTGCAGCGTCTTCTGTGCGAATTTCGCACCGCATCAGAATCGCACCCCATTCATGCGAACCACTGCGGGTGTGTAAGTTAACAACAACCCGAAAGCAGTCTGTAAAACGTGGTGCGATGTACAGAATCCGATCGCATAGGTGTGAATACCCATGCGATCTGATTCTAGTGCAGACACAAAAAAGGGTCCTACACCTTTTTGGTGCAGGTGCGGTGTGATTAGAGCCATACAAAATTGCACTGCACACAAATCGCATGTGATTTGCACAGGCATGCGGTGCGGTTCCTGTGCGAATCACATGTGATATACCGCACCACAGATATGTGAACCCAGGCTGAAAGGAAAACCACACCTTTACATTTTGCTTCACCTATTGTAAAATCATTTTTTGTGCTCCCAATCCTTATCTTAAAAGGCCTCTTGCACACTGCAGCTTGAAAAAGCTCAGTATATCATTTTTCTTTACTGATCTAAAATGCAGACCATTGTTTACAATGTGCTTGTACACACAAGTGTGTGAACAGCCACTGGCGTATTCCTGAATGAAAAAAAAAAAATCTGCATTCCTGGTCAGTATTTTGTGCCAAGTATGTGCAGATAAGCATGCAAATATTAATGGGTTTTGCATAGGAATGTACCATGCGTGTGAATGTGCATATGCACACATAAATATGCGTGATTGCACGCGAAACAGTTGCAATTAGATCCAGAAATGCTGATGCTCAAACATCAGTACTGTGTACAAAGGACCATATACAATGGAAAGGAAAAACTTCAGGAGCGCATTTGTGCACAGCAGTATGGCCACAGTGCATGCGCAATAGGGGCTGCTGGCACAGTCTGACTGGTGCATGCGCAGTAGGGGCTCCTGTTTCTGAGATCTGGAGCTGTGCCTGGAGAAATCCAAGCACAATGTTGTGCATGTGCCAGCACAATGGCAGAAACAGGAGCCCCTACTGAGCATGCGCCAGTTAGACAGCACCAGCGCCCCAACACGATCGTTTTGGCCAGGCACAGCACCAGCAGTCCTTACTGTACATGCATCCCACACACTAGGCACCAGATAATGGCAGTGCACATGTGGGGGTGTCACCAGGGAGATACTGGAGACAAGACAGACACAATTTCAAGCAGAAACTCAATAAAACCTACTATCATAGGTCAGTAATGCTGTAAAGTCTGCACAAAACTGGGAACAGGAATCGAAGGTGACATACTAAGGTTGATTTACTAAAGACAATTAGACTGTGCACTTTGCAAAGTGCAATTGCACTGTGCAAGTGCAGTTGCTCCAGAGCTTAGTAAATGAGGTAAAGCTTCTCTTTGCCAAGCGTACCCAATCACATGCAAGGAACATTTAAAAAAAAAAACAGCATTTTTGCTTACACATGCTTGGAGGATGGAAGTCAGCAGAGCTTCTGTTTCATTTATTAAACTCTGGAGTACCAGGGGCGGACTGACCATTCGAGCACTCAGGCACTGCCCGAGGGCCCGGGGTCAATAAGGGGCCCCATAAAATGCCCCTGGTACCTTTTTTATAGGCTTTTTTTGGGTGTGCTTTGAGTGTGGGCAAGGATACAGGGGCCCCATGATCCCCTATTGCCTGGGGGGCCCCATGAGTTGTCAGTCCGCCACTGGGGAGTAACTGCTCATGCGGCGTGCAATTGCACTTTGCAAAGTGCACAGTCTAATTGCCTTTAGTAAATCTACCCCAATGCATGCAACTAACATTATTAATTTTTTCAAAGAAGAATTATTATCACTTTAAATTTGTTGTTGGAGGTGACCTCCAGGAGAGGGGACTAGGGGTAGGAGCGATGGACCCAGAGTTGAGCTTTGATACATGTAAAAATGATCCTGGAGCGCCACCTGCTGGCTTAAACATTATATATAAAATATTTATTAGGACATAACTAAATACAGTATGTATAGCAAACAAAATGTTTTGCCTTTAACCACTTTGCCATGGCTTTGATGTCAGAATAGTAAATAGGATGTCAAAAACCTAATATCCACAGCCATGTTCACATAACATTGCTGACACCTACATTTTCCTTTTTTTTGTATCAGCTGATGATGTGTATGGACTTGTGGGCAGTGCAGTAAACCTTGTCCTGTACATACTCAGTAAAAAATGGGAAAACCTCCATGTGCTGGGGAAGAGGCAGATGTCCATATTCTCAATGTACCTGATCCAATCCTCTGGACAGATGGCAGCACAGTGACCGAGACGACAGCTGATATCAGATACAAGTTATTGGGTGACATAACACAAGGAAATGTATCATTGACTATTAGAAATGTAAGTAAGACAGATGAAGGCACATATTGCTGCAGAGTGGAAATCCCTGGATGGTTCAATGATCAGACACATGAAAAAAGTGTGAAAAATACTTGAAGGTAAGATCCTAGGTTTCATTTTGATGGTTTTGTTTGCCAAATGCAGAAAATAACACCATTTGTGTTACATGCTTTACCCAAGTCTACAGTTACCGCAGCCCACCTTGCCAATAGGTAGAACCTGCCCCATACCTGAATGAATAGAACTGCTTTGCTAAAGTGGAAAAGAGGAACATCAGCTTCCCATAACATCCCCTCTTGCCTGTTATGCAGGTTTTTTTCAGAATATAAACGCAGCTAATGTGTAATGATCCCGCTCCACCATCCCTTCCTACACCAACAGGAGCTGGCTGTATCTTCTGGGTTCTTGCAGACAGCCCCAGGTGTCCCTGATCCTGGAATATTGGATGGGGATCACAGGAGGGCTGCAGGAGCAGGCACATATTATCCCATAGGGAAGAATGGAGAGGGTAAGTCCGAGTAGAAAAAAAAAATTCAAACCAAAAGAAAAAATGGCTTGTTAATACTGCAAAGGGTTGCAGAGAGAAAATGTTCATTTGGGAGCGAGGGTTACTGTAATGGGGGGGTAAACACTTCCTTCTCCAAAGTAACATTATTAAAGAAAAATTCCAGTAAGAACCATTTGCATTAAACGTGACTATCAATGGTTTAAAAATGATTTAATAAACGTTTTCCTGCAAATAAAAGTAAATCTATAGCCAAACCTTGTTTGGATCGAAAGGGGAAGGATTGGAACTTAAAGGGTCTACTTATAAAAAAAAAGAAAAATCACCGTGTGAATGTCTTACACCATCAAGAGTAATCTCTGTAACAACAGCTGGAGGGCCTAAGATGTTTATTTCATATAATTGTCAACTCCCCCCAGTGGCCATAATGATGAAGTTTCCTGAAATACCTCGATCAGGAAAATACCACGTTATGGCCATTAGATTAAGCTGATAATCAAAGGAACAGACCCCTAGAACATCAATTGAGCAAAATAAATGGAAACTAAAGTAATGATAATGGTTAAAAACAAAACAAAAAAAAAAAGGTAGAAAAATGATAGCTAAGGGTAAAAAGGGGCTGCTGCTGTAATTCAGAGCAAGTTGCAGCTATGATTTTATGACTTATGTCCAGCAGTCTACTCAAAGTGTTACTAAACCCAGGACCCTACATTCACTATATCTGGTCTCCCACAGTACATAGAACATAGAAATGCAATTATTTTAATAAATATAAACTGCTAAGTACATTTTCTCATCAGCAGTTAGAGCCGTCTTGTGACTTCTATCAGTGTCCAGCAGAGCACTGGTTAAAGCTTGTAGGGGGATTTTCCATTCTCCCCTGATTGTCCTATGAGGATGCAGAACCACTGACCCTCTGTCTGGGCTGTGCGGATCACATGCACTCTCCCAAGACAAAAAACTCTTGAGCAATATACACTAAACTGAGTATGTGCAGCTTGCCCCCAAGGCTCTGTTCTATCAGGAGATGAACTGGGGACAGTGGAAGAAGGGGAGGATCAGAGAAGACAGGATCAAACATCCATTTTGCACAATGGAGAGGATTAACCCCTTAGGTTCCACAGTGAGTATAAGAAGCATGCTTTACTGCATTTACAGACTGATTTTACTGTTGTGGGTTTAGTAACACTTTCACTTCCTGTCTGGTAAAATGGTTGTCCCCATATAGCAGTAAAACCTGACAGAGGTTCTAACCTTTCCCCATGCTATCCCAAACTAGAAAAGTTTGGGGTATAAATTCACTTTTATACTTTCCCCTCCTGCCTGTGCCACGTTCTCTGTCTTTAACCTAAAAACAAATCTTCAACCTCCAACTTTTCCAAGAGTGTTAAATGCTTGGCCCCACCTCTATATTCTTAGCTTCCATCCACCAGCTGCTACGCTATTTACTTTGGAGGGAAACTAAAGCTGAGCTCCAGGCACAAAAACTTGCATTTAAATATATTCCCCAAAAACCACAAATGATTTAAATTTACTTTTGTGCACCAACTGTCTGTACAAACCCAGATATTACCTTGTAAAACAAGTGATGATATTGTCACTGCCTGTGCAGAGACCAGAGCTGTGGGGGAGAGTCCCACCAATACAAGACCAGTCACCCTGCACAAGGATAGAGAGCAGCAGTCTTTATTACAGGAAGCTCCTGCATAGAGGAAACATTCCATGCTGGATCACTGCACAGATCTGGGAGAAATACACAAAGCACACCAAGATTCAAGTAAGAATACACATGCCTCTTGTATTCAGATAATATCTGCTTTAATACCTTTTTAAACTAGTGACTTGTTAGGGAATAAAGCGCTTCCCTTCCCGTGCGTCTGGTGTCATTCCTCGGAGTTTTAGCTATGCAGTCAGAAACACGGCATTATTTGTCTTCTAGGAGAGCATTTCCAAAAGTACTTTCTTTTCTAACACAGCACACTACAACGCATGGCAGTGCGTTACTATGCGTTATGGTGTGCTGCAACGCATTTGTGTTGTCAATGTGCATTGGGGTGTCCTTATAAATGAAAACACCACAGCAAACCAACGGGCAACACACACATCCCCGCAATGCACATATGTGAACAGAGTCTTAGTGTACCCATGATACCTATATGTGAGCTGTGTTACGTGGCAAAAAAAAGGGAATTCTGCTCAGCAAGTTTTTCTAATCCAGACACATGGCCAGAATTCAGATTGTAATATGTTTTTGCACTGTTCTGCATACTGTATTTATTGCCAGATCGTGAGGGTTGTACTACCATAATAGTTATGGGGTCTATTAATAAAAATCTGTTGAATTAATGCCACAAGAATTTGCCCAGCCATCACAAATTCTGACTGTATTCTGTAATATGTTGATTTTCTATGATCATCAGGGCCATCTAGTGACCACAGTGCTGTATTTTCCTCAGTCAGGAAAATACCTTATTATGGCCACTAGATGGAGCTTATGATCATAGGAAATCAACATATTAAGGTGCAACTCAACTCAACATATGACATGATGGGATTTTGTCAGCACAAAAAAAATCTATTTTTTATCTTATTTAAAACAACACATTTTATTCATACAGAATTCAATTAAAACATAACATATTCATTAACCTAATGTTAAAATCAGTCAATCACATTCCATCTCAAACTGAATTCTGCAAAGCTCTTAAAGTCTGCAAAGCTTGACGCATTTCTTGGAATCAATCCATTTCATCAGGAGCTAGAGATGAACGTCTCTATATAATAATAGACATTATTACAGATTATCAACACAAAAAAAATCTATTTTTATCTTATTTAAAACAACACAGTTTATTCATACAGAGTTCAATTAAAACATAACATATTCATTAACCTCATGTTTAAAATCACAGTCAGTTACATTCCATCTCAATCTGATTCTGCAAAGCTCTTAAAGTCTGCAAAGCTTGACGTTTCTTGGAATGAATCCACTTCATCAGGAGCTAGAGATGAACATCTCTGTATAACAATAGAAATTATTACAGATTATCAACACAAATTATATTCCATCAGTTATGAGCATATGATTTATATTCAATTCTTTTACCTGAAAAGACCCATATGAGGGGGAAAAAACAAAAGAAACTGCCGGAGGCCCAAAGCAAGAGGGGGAACCTAGAGACCGGAATCCCAATTGAAATACACTGGATCAGATATGTATACATAAACTGGTAGGTAGGCACACGGTCACACAGTGCTTTAATATGGATGTGGCACAGTTTGGGGCTATTCATATTTAACACATTAAAGTGGTTGTAAAGTTTAATTTTTTTTTTTTAATCAAAAATAATATGCTTTATATTTACCTGCAACGGTATTGCACAGAGTGGCCCTGAGCCTCCTCTTCTGAAGTCTCCCACTTTTACTATTCACTGTGCGCCCCCATAGAAAGCCGCACCTGAAGGCTCACTCCCAAGCTGAGCTGAATACATCCATAGACACACACAGTGCTTTGTAACCCCAGTCCCCACTCTCTCCTCACAGGATTTGATTGACAGCAGCAGAAGTCAATGGCTCCCGCTGCTCTCACTGAGCCATGTGAGGAGAGAGAGAGGGAAAGACCACCAGTGCCACTGCAAACGTGCAGGCGCTGGATCGACAATGCATTAAGTTAAAAAAAGCCTTTAAAACCACTTTAAGCAAAATACAGTCAGAATTTGTAATGGTTGTGTGAATAGTTGTGGTATTTGTCCACTAAATAGACCCCTAAGTGTATAAGGGCTACCACTGTTGACGTCCCACCGAAAATACTAATTGTCTAGAAGCCTCTGGCATCAATATTTTAGGAGGCCCTTTACTGTAAGCTAAGCCCTTTATGAGATGGGGAAACATCATTCTGTTTGTGTGGAAGTAAATTATTGTGTGGAGTAAATTAAATGTTTTGACTGACAGGTGGGGTTTTTTAACACAGCCTTCACATTCATGAAGAGGTGGGGTTTTCACACAGGGTTGAGAGAGAACAGCAAGAAGAGAGCATGGTGAATGAGGGGGGCCGTGTGAGCTGAGAATCTGATGACATCCAGGTGTGAGAGCATCCCTCCGTAACCAGAGCTGCAGCTAAGTGAAGCTGATGAGATTGCTGTCAGGAAGCTGATGAGATTGCTGCCAGGAATGCTGATGAGATTGCAGCCAGGAATGCTGATGAGAGCAGAAGAACTAAGCAACATATACGGCGAGACCGCATGCTTGTTGGAGAGATATTTGTTCTGTTCAGAGTCACCAGCGGATGCAAAGCAGACCCGGGTCTGTAAGATCGTGCACGCACCTCACTTCAGTGTTGGCGCCTTCAGACTAAGTCCAGGCCTATAGTTAGTTAGTTAGGGTCTCTGTTTGTGTCAGGCCACAAGTGTTATTACTGATAATTGGAAGGACTCCACAACTTAAAGTGACATTTCACATTGGAGGGCTGATAACATCCCACAAACTCAAGCCAGACTGGCGTTTTGCTCAGAAGGAATACTCAGGCATGTGCTACAGGACCAGTTATGGGAGGGGGAATACTGTAGATTTGTGTAAGATTGTAAGCTGTTGTGCTGCACCGCAGGCTAGCCCATACCATACACCCATACACTGATTCCTGCTCTTTTAGGGTAATAACGGGTAAGGTGTGGCAGCTTAGTTGTGCCCGCCAGTAGGCAAATTACTACTCTTTCTACCGTCATCATCAGAAGCCGTGCTGTGCAGCACAAGGGTCTCAACCTTTGGGCTGGGTGTATGTAAATTTATTGTATGTTTTCAGCATTTGTGGTTGTGCTTATTTGCCACATCTAAGTAAAATTCTGTTGTGGCAAAAGCTGGTGTTGGGGTTTCTTTCCTCGTTCGTGACTTCACTGTATCCTGGGGAGCCCACCCCGGGTACACGGCTTACACTGATCAGGAAAGTGAGTGTGAAGTCAGAATTTCTGATCTGCATATTTTCTCCAGGTCAGTTATTCATAAAATACTGAAGCCATTGGACCAGGATGACATCTAGACAGCTAGTATTATGGGACATGGAGGTCATAAGTGGCAGCTTTTATACTTCCTGGCACAGGTTTCCTTTAAACACAGTATAACTAAACTGTAAAAACGAAGTATAATATGTGTATCTCAAAAAAATCCATATGAAAAGAAAGATTTTTATGATTGTTTATGCTAGTTTCAATATGTCCTTTAAAATCTGTTTAACAGCACCAAAGAGCACCAAACCAGCGCTCACGACGTGGTCCCTTGGCCTCACGCATGGTAAGTCTTTGACTGAGTCTCCAGTCAGGTTTGTCTTCTTAACACTGAGCACCAGACAAACAGTGAAATCCACAGATAAAATACATATATTAGAGATGCTTGCATATCTATCCAGCCAGTCCTCAGACTTACACAGCTATGTTACACAGCGCAGTCCTGTCTGGTGGGGCTGTAGGCCTGATTTTTCTCTGCTCCAAATCTTGCAATGCCAACCACCTCCCCACCAGTCAGTGACTGGACAGTGAAAGGAGAAGCAGCAAACGAATAAGCTCACCACTATGTCACTCTGTTCTCTTCTCCTAACACATTTGTAATTGATACAGTTGTGCTCCCTCTCTCAATCAGAGCTCTGCTGTACAGGGACTACAAATGCTTACATCGTTTGCATTTAAAAAAAAAAAAAATACATGTCATTATATGCATTCAGAGTGTATCTTGCCTGCCTGAAGTTTAGCTTTTAAGTTTAAACATTTGAGGACATTTTTTTTAAATAAAGTTCATGTGTTTTAACTAGTCTGTAATGCCCCTTTCATTGCCAGGCCATTCTTCAGGTTTCATTGCTGTGATAGTTTGACTGACAGTTACCCGTCGTGCAAAACTGTGTCCAAATTAATTTTAGATCTGTTTTTGAGACATAGAGATTTATTTTGGTGTTTTTTTTAATGTTAACTCTAAAAAGACTAAACATTTTGTTTCTCTCAGCAAAAAAATGTCAGGATAGTAGAACCCCCCCAACCCCCAAAATTACCCCTTGGAAAGTAGACACCAATAGGTGATCTAATTTATTGCCACATTTATTTGTGAATGAAACATGCTGGTATTGCAGGGGTTAAACATGGAGCTTGGTATTGTGGCACTAGATACATTCATGTACAGGTCATATGAGAAGGAAGGAGGGGAGTGAAGGGGTTATTTTACTGGCCAGATACAGTGGCAGGATAGAGATGAAGGAGTAATGTTTAGATGTGCATGGTAAGGGCAGTGAAAGGGTTAATATACAGGTCACATGAAGACAGCATGGATACAGTAGTATGTGTATGAGAGGAGGTGAGCATCAAAAACCATTACAAAATGAACCCTGTGTCACTGCAACAGCTGCTAATCCAGCTGTCCCCATTGACAGTTACTTAATCTGACTCCTTTCCTTGTAGGCGAGGGATCAACACTGTAAACAATACCATGTGATCATTGTGATGATCAGTCACAGCAATCACATGGTACCCTGCCCCTTTGATCAGCTCGGCACAGTGGCTCTGTGTACCAAGCTGTCTAATGATTACACAGGTGAACTGGTGGACCAATAGCTATTTATTCAGTGCCATTTAAACAGGGCCGCTGGTCCACTGTTCTAGGCTAGGTTCACGCTATGCAGGGTGGTTGCGGGGATCGCAGCTGTTCCCACACCCGCAACCATCCGCAGCCAAAACACGCAGGGCTGCCATTCATTCCTAATGGCAGCCCCATGCATCTAAAAACGCAGTGTGTTTGCAGGTGTGGGAACTGCAGGGAAAAAGCACCATGTGATTTCTCTGCCACTGCGTTTTGAAAATACTGCAGGAACCTTTTTTTTTTTAGTGAAATTCAGTTACAGCAGCCATGAATGGGCTGCCGTGCTCGAACAAACTCAGGCCATGACAGTGTAAACCTAGCCTAAAGATGTACCCCAGTAAAAAAAGGGGTAAACTGTAACTTTTGTATTAAGTATTTTTTTCTGTATAAATGTGTAGTGCTACCCCCAAAGGAGCCGCTTGTATGATGTCTACTGGATCCCCTTTACTTGCGTAGCAACCAGGCACAGTGTATTCCTCACTCACACACACTTCAGCTCGTTGTGTTCAAAGACCAGTCTAGGGGATGTTCTGTTTACGCAGTTTATTGTAGAACTGGGGATAGGGACGGGGCATTGTCGTAGGATACTCCAAATCAGAGCTATTCACACTGAGGACATCTAGCTGGTCTCTTGAACACTGTAGATGTTTTGGCTGAGAGTAGATAGCTGACCCCCCTTCACTTTGTAGCAACAAGTAGTTTAGGAGAGAGCAAAGTCCCTTAAGCAGTAGTAGTAGTTACAGGGCTGAGCTCCTCAACTGATCAGCCAGTTACGACAGACTGCGACAGCCCAAAGGTAACGTAGCTTGGTAAAGTCCTTTGCATTAGTAGCACTTGGACGGTACTCTTCAGAACACTAGCCAGTGTTCCCTTTTTCTAGATCCAGGCTGACTATCAAGCACCAGGGGAGGTAGCAAGCACACAGAGTCCCCAAATTCCTCAATGTCAGTACTTACAAGACCCAAGGACAGAATGGTTGCCTCCTTCCAATCGTCCAGGTGAAACCTTCCAGTGATACCAGACAGAGCTTTGGTGGACAGCTCACCTCAGTCAGTTTACTGAAGAACCAGGGTCACTCTCTCTGGCTTCAGGCCTTCAGGTCGCCCACCTGAGGCCACACAGCAGCAGTTGCCAGACGAGGCAGCCTGCCTCAAGCCTGGCTGGTGCAATCCACTCCTGGGAAAGACGCTGAATATTTCCATTCACTTCCTGTCCCACAGTCAAAACAGGAAGTGAGAGGAGATCCCTGCAAATTAAAGGAATTCCTTGGGGACCCCCAAGTCACTAGGACTAGTGTCCCCATTGGAAAATGTCTGCTCTATTACTTTTCGGTTGACAGCCCAAAATTTGGGATTTTCTTTACTTTCACCTTCGATGAAAATTGTAAACAGAGCAAATAGAGAGAATGAATCTCCCTAACCTGTTGCCTGCAATTGCCCTTTAAAGGAAAACTATTATACGATCTTATTTTGTCTGTCACTGAAAATCAGTCCTGAATTATTTTGATGAGATTTTGATGTTTTCACAATCCTATTACATGTCCACATATGAAGTTTCTTTTTAGTGCTTCCTGCATATCAGACAGGGACATCAGTAGAGATGAGCGAATCGAACTTGGCGAAGTGAATTCGTTTCGAATATTAGGAAAAATTTGATTCGCACCGAATCCGAATTTTAGCAAACTTCGGATGCACGAATCGAATTTTTCCCGATCAGCCGGCAAAAAGTGTCACTGCAGAGAGCTCCGCTATTTCTGACAGTTCTCTGACAGTTCCTTCACATTTACAGCGGTTGAAACATTGTATCTATTTGTTTCCATTTAGGATACAGATGTTTTTATTCAGAAATAAATAGATACAATGTTTCAACCGCTGTAAATGTGAAGGAACTGTCAGAGAACTGTCAGAAATAGCGGAGCTCTCTGCAGATACACTTTTTGCTGTACTGGAATTCTTCTTCTTTTCATTCTTCTTCTTCTTTTTTTCATTCTTCTTCTTCTTCTTCTTTTCATTCTTCTTCTTCTTCTTTTCATTCTTCTTCTTCTTCTTTTCATTCTTCTTTTCTCTTCTTCTTCTTCTTTTCATCCTTCTTCTTTTCATTTCTTCTTCTTCTTTTCATTCTTCATTCTTCTTCTTTTCATTCTTCTTTTCATTCTTCTCATTCTTTTTTTCATTCTTCTTTTCATTCTTCTTCTTCTTCTTTTCATTCTTCTTCTTCTTCTTTTCATTCTTCTTTTCATTCTTCTTCTCATTCTTCTTTTCATTCTTCTTCTTCTTCTTTTCATTCTTCTTCTTCTTTTCATTCTTCTTCTTCTTCTTTTCATTCTTCTTTTCATTCTTCTTCTTCTTCTTTTCATTCTTCTTCTTCTTCTTTCATTCTTCTTCTTCTTTTCATTCTTCTTCTTTTCTTTTCATTCTTCTCATTCTTCTTTTCATTCTTCTTTTCATTCTTCTTCTTCTTTTCATTCTTCTTTTCATTCTTCTTCTTCTTCTTTTCATTCTTCTTCTTCTTCTTCTTCTTTTCATTCTTCTTTTCATTCTTCTTCTTCTTCTTTTCATTCTTTCTTTTCATTCTTCTTTTCATTCTTCTTCATCTTTTTCATTCTTCTTCTTCTTTTCATTCTTCTTCTTTTCATTTTCTCATTCTTCTTTTCATTCTTCTTTTCATTCTTCTTCTCATTCTTCTTCTCATTCTTCTTCTTCTTCTTTTCATTCTTCTTCTTCTTCTTTTCATTCTTCTTCTTTTCATTCTTCTTTTCATTCTTTTTCTTCTTCTTTTCATTCTTCTTCTTCTTCTTTTCATTCTTCTTTTCATTCTTCTTCTTCTTTTTTCATTCTACTTCTTTTCATTCTTCTTCTTCTTCTTCTTTTCATTCTTCTTCTTTTCATTCTTCTTTCATTCTTCTTCTTCTTCTTCGTCGTGCCCCGTGACTGCCCAAATGAGTGAAGTGTGCGGTGATTCTAAGATCGACGGCACTCATCTGCATGTCATACTGACTGACAGTATTATTTCTCTTCCCCAGCAGACTCCAAGGGCATTTAAATTAAAGGTACAGTGTTCTGCACTAATATAAAGGCTCTCTGAAGCCTAGAAACCCTTTTAATAAGTTAAATTCACAGCGAATAAATTCGCATCGAATCGAATTTCTCCCGCAAATTCGGCGAATCAGCCGAATCGAATTTTTGAATAATTCGCTCATCTCTAGACATCAGCACCCTAATTGCATGAAGATCAGATACAGTCTAGGCTAGGGGTCTCCAAACTTTCTAAACAAAGGGCCAGTTAACGATCTTTCAGACTTTACGGGGTCTGAACTACGGAAAGTCAGAGAAGGAAATGTCCTGGCTTCACTGGGAGTAAACAACGCCCAATCTTTGGAATTAGGGGAGAAATCATGCCTCATCATTGGTGTCAGTGGAAGGAATAATTCTTTATCATTGGTGTCAGTGGGAGGAATTGTGCCCCATCACTGGTGTCAGTGGGTGGAATAGTGGCTTGTCATTGGTGTCAGTGGGGAGAACAGTGCCTCACCATTGGTGATAATTGAAGGAATAGTGCCCCATGGTTGGTGTAATTGGAAGGAATTGTATCCCAGCACTGGTGTCAGTGAGAGGAATTGTGCTCTACTGTAGGTGTCAGTGGAATGAACAGTGCCCAACTGCTGGTGTCACTGGAAGGAAGTGTGCCCTTTGTGTTTTTGGAAGGAATTGTGTCCCATTTTAGGTGTCAGCGAGAGAAAGAGTGCCACATTGTTGATGTCATTGGGAGGAATAGTGCTCCATTCTTAGTGATATTGGGTGGAATTGTATACTATCATTCATGTAAATTTGTGCTCCATTGTTGGCGTCTGGCAGGAATAATGTTGGAGTCAGTGGATGGAATAATGCCTCAAAGGCCGGATAAAAGCAAGCAAAGGGCCATATCTGGCCCCTGGACCACAGTTTTGAGATCACTAGTCTAGGCCAACTGATGATGATACTGTGTTCAATAAAAGCCCATGACCAAAAGCTCTGTATATAGATTTGATGTAATATAGAAAGGAGCATAAAAGACAACAGAAGAAAAGTGAACACATCTTATTGTAATGTGTTAATGACAGTTACATTTAATGACTCTTGTTTTGTCTTTTATATATTTTAATTCAGCACCAGACTATAATCATCGAGAACATAGAAATGTTACCAGCACACCCTTTACTGCAATGATTCCAGGCACCTCAAATGGAGAACAGGTTGGTACATGATCCAATCAGAAAGCTGCACTACCAGCAAATGTTTTCATGGTGACATCAAGGAATGCTCAGTTAGTATGAGTGTACTACTAAACAAATGAATCCTAATTGCCCCTCTTCCCCTCCCTGTTCTAGCTATAACCCCTTTTTTTACCCCAGGCCAGCTAAAGACAATTTTACATGACTTTTGTCTGAGCAGCGGGGCTGCAAGACTGCACATGCACAGCGTTTAACCAAAGGCCCTAAACGAAAAGCCATCTTCTCTCAAGCCCCCAGGCTAAGGGTTTTCCATTGGGACCATGGGGAAAATAGGCCACACATGTGCAGCACTGAGCCGAGTGGCGAGCATATTGGATGCTGCAATTTTGGAGTATAATATGAAAATGAGCGCTATTTAATTTCCTATTTCCATTTAAAAAGTTACAATTCAGCAGTTACATATACTGTTGCTGCTGACTTTTAATAAACAGGTACTCACAAGTCCAGCAGTCCAGAGCTGTCTCACCTGGGTCAGTTCTTCACCAGTCTTCAGGTTCCCAGTGCTGCCATCTTGGCTGTGACTTTGTTTCACAGTTGGCTCGCCACTGTGCATATGCAAGACACGCTGTGCTTGCAGTCTGGTACCACAGCCTCCTAGGACATATATCATGTCTGTGAAGGGGGGGGGAGGTGACCCAACTTCCAATCTTCCACAGCAGAAGTGAGGAAATGTACCTGTCAAAAATAGGTACCCGCTCCCAGAAAATAAACGGTTTCCAAGGATGGCAGAGGAGGAGCAGAAGCAGGAGGATGAGCTGAACTCCCTATTTTCAGTGACGTTCTGATTTAAGGATCTTTGACAGATGCTGACTTAAAGAGTAGCTCCACCCAAAAGGGGAAGTTCCACTTTAAGCCTTTGTCCCCCGCTCCCCATTAAATATTGGCTCCCACCTCCGCTGTGTTCGCCTAGGCGATCGGAAAGCAGAAGTTGTCCTCCCCCTCCCTCCCCGTCGTCTTCTGGGACACATGACAGGTCCCAGAAGACGACAGGGCCATTCGCAAAGAACAGCGCTTCTCGTGCATGTGCAGTGGGCACCCGGCTGTGAAGCCGCAAGTTGTCACACCCGGGTGCCCACAATGAAGATGTCGGTGTCAGGGAGAGAAGATGGCCAGTGAAACCAGCGGTGGTGAGGACACCGCTGGACCGAGGGACAGGTAAGTGGCTGTATTTTAAAAGTCAGCAGCTACAGTTTTTATAGCTGCTGACTTTTTTTTTTGTTTAGGTGGAACTCCGCTTTTAAAGTGGTTCTAAAGGCTGTGTAGCAGCCCCCACAGCCCCAACACTTACCTGAGCCCCATCCCGTTCCAGCAATGTCCATGAGTGCCTCGGTTCTCTGGGGATTCCCACTCCTGATTGGCTGAGGCAGCAGTAGGAGCCATTGTCAATCACGGCTAGTGAGCCAATCAGGAGAGGTGAGCGGGGCCAAGCCATGTCTCTGTGTGTGAATAGCCACGCAGAGTTGCAGCTCAAGAGTGCGCCTGCTTGGGTGCTCCCACAGCATGCTGCTTGCTATGGAGGCACCCAAAAGGAGGGAGGGGCCAGGATCTCTGGCAGGGGACCTGAGAAGAGGAGGCTCCAGGCCGCTCTGTGCAAAACCACTGCAGAGAGCAGGTAAGTATAGACATGTTTGTTATTTAAAAAAAAAAAAACAAGACTTTAGTATGACTTTAATGTTTAAAAAGGTGAGTGGATTTGTTTTTTTTTTTTTTTTTTTAAACTGGAGTGAATTTGTTTTTAGTTTAATAAATAATTTTAAACTATATTACTCTATTGGAAATTGTCCTCCCTTCCCATAGTCTTCTGGGACATGTGACGGGTCCTAGAAGACTATGGGACATTCAGAAAGTGCAGCGCAGTGCCGCTTGCGCACATGCACTGAGTAGTCAGCTGTGAAGCCCACAAACTGTCGGAGCTGGGTGCCCACACTTAGGATGCTGGCGCCAGGGAGTGAGGACGGCTGATGAAAAGGCTGCGGTGAGGACACCGATGGATCCTGGGACAGAGTCTGCTTTTTAAAAATCAGCAGCTCCAGTTTTTTGGCTGCTGACTTTTATTTTTTGAAACTTTGACTGGAGCTCCGCATTAACAAATGTTGAATTCACAGCGTTGGATTCCAAAGAGAAGTTTGCAACTATGTTTCTTTCTTTTCTTTTCTCACAGAGGACTCTTTCTGCCTATTGGGACGCTCCCTTTTGAAGTTTTAACTCTGTGAATCTTTTGAATCATTTTAGGTGACATTCACACCTAAGCATCACGTTTTCAAGCGTTTTCCTGTGTTTTTTGGAGCAGAATTGCATGTTTTTGCAGCATCTTTCAGGCGTTTTCCAACTAAAAGGTGTGGAGTGCTATTGAAAAAGGGATGAGAGCTGCTGTTTGAGCAGAAAACACAACAAATCGCTTGAAAAGATTCTCCAAAAAAGCTCATGTCTCACTTTTCAGGTGTTTCTATTGAAGTCTATTGGGACAAAAACGCTCAATTCTGCCTGAAAAGTAGCTTGTGTATTTTTTTGAGCGACAGGCGTTTTGCTGCAAGCGACAGGACGCTCAGATGTGAACAAGGACTATTGAAAACAATAGGTTTTTGCTTGTTGAACGTTTTTTTAGCTTCGAGCTACAAACTACAAAATCCTCAAGTGTGAACTGGGCCTTCATTGCACAGTTTTTATTCATGTTATCGGGTTATTTACACTGTAATTAATATTCATGGATCCGGAGGATGTTTTTTGCACACTTTTTCACAGCTGCATTTAGAGTTTTTCTGTAAAAGATGATGAGTTTGCCAAGATGATGATGGGCAGCACAGTGGCTAAATGGTTAACACTTCTGCCTGGCAGTACTAGGGTCATTGGTTCAAATCCCAACCATGGCACCACCTGCCTGGAGTTGGCATGTTCTCCCTCTCTCTGCATGGGTTTCCTCCGAATACTCCTGTTTCCTCCCACACTCCAAAGACATGCTGGTAAGTTAATTGGATCCTGTCTAAATTGGCTCTTGTATAAGAATGTGAGTTATGGACCTTTGATTGTACACCCCTTGAGGGTTAGGGACTGATATGAATGTACAATATATATGTAAAGCGCTGTGTAAATTGATGGTGCTATATAAGTACCTGAAATAAATAAATGATCATACAGTTACATTCTATATAATTCAATTGTCATATATTTCAGCAGATGGTGCAGATTGAAGAGGATCTGAACAGTGACCATGTTAACCCAATCATTGCTGGAGTTGTGGTCCTTATTATTTTGTTGGTGTCTATAGTGGGACTTCTGTCTACTTGTAAGTGGCTCATATTATTGATTCTGTTGTGTTGCTGTGCTGATCAACTGAGGGTTCCCACCCATATGGAAGAAAAATATATTTGAAATATATTTTAAAAATATTCTTCCCAAATATATTGCCATATACTTGAAATGCTACAATTTTGGCCATATTCAATATATTTCAAAATATATACTGCATGTTGAAATGCGTTTTTATTACAAACTATATGAAAAATATTTAAAAAAAATAACATTTTAAATATACTATATGTCTTTAGAAATACAAATCTACATTTTTGGAATGCATTTACAAATATATGTAAAATATATGTTAAAATTACTTTTTTATATGTTTTTAAAAAAATCTGTAGAATATATTTAAAACATTTTTTTATTAAATATATATTTTTTAAAGATATTCTTCAGATTTTTATTAACATATAAAAAAGTAATTTTAACATATATTTTTACATATATTTGTAAATGCATTCCAAAAATGTAGATGTGTATTTTTTAAAGACATACAGTATATTTGAAATTTATTTTTAAAAATATTTTTCATATATTTTGTAATAACATAACGCATTTCAACATGCAGTATATACTGTATATATATATATATATATATATATTTATTGAAATATATTTTGAAATATATTGAATATGTCCAAAATTGTAGCATTTCAAATATATGGCAATATATTTGGGAAGAATTTTTTAAAATATATTTCAAATATATTTTTCTTCCATGTGGGCAACTTTTACAGTAATAAAATAAAAGTGAAAATATTGAAATAAATGCATGTTACAGTAAGGGAGCCAAGGCTTAAATTGTATGTGAAAGTGGTTGTAAATCTCAGACATGAAATATGAACAAAGCATATCCCTCTACAGCAGGGGTAGGCAACCTTTAGGAGGTGGAGGTCTGAACAACATGAAGGAGATCAAAGATCCCCGGGTGTGCTTTTTTTATTTATTTATAGAAAAAGAAATTTACTAGAAAGCCTCCAATAATAAAGACCTGTGATTTATTTCGCGGCCCACGAACCAAAGCATTGTGACCACAGTGTGTGTGCACCCCTGGCTGCTGCAGCTAAAGGGGGAGTGGTTGGGAGATGGTAAAATTGCAGCTCAGCTGAGGGGGTTTTACTGCCCCAACCAGTAGTGTGAACAAGCCCCAATGCACGGACCACTTTACAAAGTGCTACTAAAATGACTCCCTCGGCTCAATTCAATTCACTCCCCACCCATATTCTTCATGATAGAGATCCCCCCTACAAACTCCCTGTCCAGGACAGACCAACCAGCTTTACAACACAGACCCCCCCCCCAACACAGCCCTCCCCCTACCCAGTACAGACCCCCCTTCCCAGTTCAGGTGCCTCAATACAGATAACCCTCTCACCCCCCCCAGGCTACAGAACTGCAAGACACCCAGCTCAGAGTGTGAAGTCCGGACCAGTGGTTCACCTGACTTCTCACCCTGGTCTGCCTAGTACACCACTGGGGAGGTGCAGTTTATCCCGGGTTCGGCAATGCAGAGATGTGATTTACCTTTCAACTGGCCACAATCAACAGGTAGATCACAATCAACAAGTTGCCAACCCCATCTCTACAGTGTGTACTTGTCTCAATTAAAGTGTTACTAAACCCACAACAGTCAAATCCGTCTATATATGCAGTAACGCATGCTGGTTATACTCACTGTGAAGCCTAAGGGGTTAATCCTTTGCATTGTGTAAAAAGGCCGTTTCATCCTGTCTTCTCTGTTCCTCCCCTTTTTCAAGTGACCACCTCTTATCTCCTAAGACAGAATGAACCGTAGGCATTTTGCACATGCTCAGTTTGGTGTGTATTGCTAGAGAGGTTTTTCTTTTTTCTTGGGAGAGTGCATGTGATCAGCACAGGGCCAATCAGCACAGGTCAGACAGAGGTCAGGGGTTTTGCATCCTTCTAGAGCAGAAAGAAACTCCTCCTACACGTTTTTGCTACAGCTCTGCTGGACACTGATAGAAACCACAAGACTGTGCCAACTTCTTAAGAGAAAAGGTATTTAGCAGTTTATATTTATATTATAATAATTACACGTCCATGTTCTTTTTCATGTGGGGGGCCAGATATAGTGGATGCAGGGTCCTGGGTTTAGTAACACTTTAAGAACACTGAGTGTCATTTCTGTCTGCAGCTCTGTTCCTCTGCTATCAGCATGAGTCATTTCTGCCAAGTTTTTCTGACACCAAGAGAAAAAAGGAGACAGGGGAGGGACCTCCACCTGATTGACAGCCTCAGCTCTGTTCCTGTGTGCTGTGTGGAAGGGGGGGTGTCACTTCCCTCCAATCATCAGCTTTTAGAGCTTCCCTCACTGAGCTCTGCAGAGTGTAACCTCAGTGCTCTGCCCCCTTTTTTTGACAGATCAGCCAAACATTTTAAATTCAGCACTTTGAAGGGATGTAGAGAAGAGAAGACTGTAGCTACACAGGTACAACAGGTACACTGGGTATAAGTAAGGGTTTACAACCACTTTAAGGCAAAGGTTTCTTTTTTTAATAAGTGGAAAGGGATAGACCTTTTGTTTAGTTTTGATTGCTACTTGTGTCTCCATTGGGAAGATTCAACCCTTTGTTTGTTCTGTTGACCACTGTCACAATATTTTAGAGTTCACCAGAACAAGAGAAGAGGGGAATTCGTTCAATGACAACACTTGTTCCAGAAAACCAAGAGAGAATTCCTGCCATTTTTTTTAATCAGTACAGGAAATAAAGGGACATCATGCAGCAGGAGACAGACAGATGGCTGGATAGGGTTTTTTTTAACGCAGAAAAAACAAAACAAAAGGTTGTGACTACAAAACATACACTTTAGAGAATGTAGTGTACAAACTGATGTTGTGTATGACTGCAATGCATGCTAGATTTTCTTAAAAACAACCAGCACTACTTGCCTGGTTGTTGGCAATCTGTGTGTAACTGACTAATTGAGAGGATACTATCTTCAAATCAATAGAGAGAGCCTCAAAGGGTAAATATGACCTATGCTGATACTAAATGGTCTGTTTACCTAATCCAAAAAATACAAAACATGTATTTGTTTGTACAAAAATTAAGGGAATCTGCGCCAGTCGGATTAAATTAAATTTATTAAAAGAGCTGCAGTCACTAGATGACACAGGTGTCCTTTTATGACACAGAGAATAGCTGTGATTCAGAGGATCACAGCTATTCTCTGGTCATTCACAGTTTATGACACTCAGGAGAACATGTTCAACCCTTCTCTGGAGATCTGTGTTCTCCCTCCAGATTCTCCAGCCCAGAGCTGGAGAATCGGAGGGACCGCAAACTAAGCAGAGATAATTTACCTCTGCTTAGTAAACGGATATTTTACTGTAATCTCACGAGATTATAGTAAAATCAGTCGTTTTCCAGCGTTTGTAGACCGTTCTCCCTTCGTTTGGAGAACTGATCTACATATACTTCATAAACCACATTCACAGGAGAAATGTGTTCTCCGAGAATGCCGGAGAACTGAGCAGCGATCTATTACTGCTGGTTCATAAACGGACACCACAGTCTGCAATAATGTGATAAAAAATCCTGGGACATTGTTCAAAACTTCTTGCGAAATAAAGTGTATGAAAAAATATGTGCAAAACACCCTAAAAATTTTCTTTAAAGTTTATTTATTTATTGATTGATTTTTTTTAGGGTGTTTTGCACATATTTTTTCATACACTTTATTTCGCAAGAAGTTTTGAGCGCTGTCTCACTAGTACTATCACATGTATTTGTTTGTATCAAAATTTTATTACTTTGCAATACAAACTGCTGATTTGCAACGTCGCAGTGTGAATAAAACTTGCAGCATTTAACAAAGTTCTAACAAATAAAAAAAAATGAAATAGTGTGATGCATTTTACAAGCATGACCTTCAGGTCCCTTATTTACATGCTAGGGGGGAGTCAGTGAATGACATCCCTAAACTCTTTAACTTACACCGGGCTATCAGAGGCTTAAAACTTAGCGATATAAATAACAGTTATCCTTAAAATGCCGGATCCCCTCACCAAGCAGGGTTACCTGCCTACTTGTCCACCGTCCACAGTGATCTTTCCTATGGGGCCGGTAGGTGCTATACAACAAGGAAAGTCTCCCCGCTGGTCCATGCATGCACAGTGGGATTCCCATCTATTCCTATGGAAAGACCATCACTTTTTGAGCCCAACATTCAATAGGCTTCCCATAGGAAATGAGCCTTACAACTGATGGCCTTCACCATAGGAATGAATGGGAAATCTACTGAAAATGTGCAGAGTTCCAGAAGACCTTTTGTGAAGAGGTTGTGTAGCACCCAGGACCCCACAGGGAAGATCGAAGATCTGGTAACACAGTGGCTAAATGGTTAACACTTCTGCCTGGCAGTAATAGGGTTGTTGGTTTGAATCCCAACCATGGCACCATCTGCCTGGAGTTTGCATGTTCTCCCTGTACCTGTGTGGGTTTCCTCCTGCACTCCAAAGACATGCTGGTAGGTTGTTTGGATCCTGTCTAAATTGGCCCTAGTATGTGTATGTATAAATGTAAGTTAGGGACCTGAGATTGTACGCCCCTTGAGAGTTAGGGACTGATGTGAATGTACAATATATATGTAAAGTGCTGTGTAAATTGACAGTGCTATATACAAGTACCTGTAATAAATAATAATAATAATAAATCTACGTAGATCATAGACAGGTATGTGGTGTATTTTGAGATTTGTCAAGAAAGGAAGAATATTTATTTCTCCTTAGCATCCAGTTTGGCATTTTGCCTTCATCTATGATTTAGGAGCAATAAACACAGTTTATTCTAAAAGTTAAGAGAAATTAAATGTCACCTGTAGATTTATTTATTATAGGTGCTTATATAGCGCCGTCAATTTATGCAGCTCTTTATATATATATTGTACATTCACATCAATCCCTAACCCTCAAGGGGTGTACAATCTAAGGTCCCTAACTCACATTCATACATACACATACTAGGGTCAATTTAAACAGGATCCAATTAACCTACCAGCATGTCTTTGGAGTGTGGGAGGAAACTGGACAACCCAGAGGAAACCCATGCAGGAAGAACATGCAAACACCAGGCAGGTGGTGTTGTGGTTGGGATTCAATCCAAGAACCCTAGTTATGCCAGGTGGAAGTGCTAACCATTTAGCTACTGTGCTGCTCCATTTACCCTATTGCTTCTTGAAAAAGGTAAAATCATAGTTTGGGCACTTTTGTATTCATGGAAGACAGCATGGTATATGGTCACTTTAGATAATGTATACTTCATAAATTTAATTTTAAGCCATTTTATTTCTGTGTCATTTCAGGGAGGTACCACAAAATAAAGAATAAAAACAAATCCAGGTAAGTTTTTAATAAAACAAATAAGCCAGATCCAGCATAACTATGTGTACAACACCTTATAGATCACCCAAATCATGTTAGCTTCATGACTTGTAATGTCTGCTGCTTAACACAGGATATAGTTCTATCACGGAAGTCATACTTTACAACAGCATTCAGAACCTTTTTGACATGAAACTACTCTTTTCAATTTTCTTTCCACTTTTCGTTTTCATTCTACTATTTCTACTACTTACTTTTTATCTATTTTTCCTTTTTCTATCATAACTGTTCATATTCTATCTGGCCACATAGCCATGGGTCACAGGTACTCTATCTGATTATATAGGATACACCACAGTATGATATGTCAACCATGGATTCGTGGAGTTACACACTACAAGTTCACAATGTTCAAAAAAAGCAGTAAATGGCAACAATTTTAGCATAGTTGGTGACCTAGAAATACTGTATATATTTTATATGGTTTGACTGGCACATATACAAAATATGACTGATAAATGTTCTGAGATAATGTCCTCTGATCCACACAAATGTTTGTACTAATGCAAAACCATAAAAATCATTTGTAAAGAACCTTTTTAAACATGGAACCCTTAAAATAGCTTTCAGGTCTGCTAGTAATTCTGTCTATAGCTCATGGTACATTAGCATGAACTACATAAAGAAATGCTGATGTAAGAAGAAAATGTATGTACTAAGAAGTTTCTCATAGCCTTCAATCAGATTCAAAACTGCCTTGACATTCAAAAGCCAGAACTCACTAAACGTTGCGCAAAAAAGGGTTTCCCTTCTTATGTCATGAAAAACATACAAAAAAAGTTACTCACAGGCTAAAAAGTTTCTGACATACCGAGCCTTAAAGTGACACTGGTTAAAAATGACATATTTGATACAGTCCTTTACTAGCATTAATTAACAGAGAAGTCCTTGTTTTTCTGACGTCATGTTCTTCCAGGCTTATGAACCTTGTACAGGTGAAGAAAAATAGTGGTTGTGGGTGAGTGTGCTGCCATCCTAGATAACTCACTCATACTCTCTCCCATGGGTTACACTTTTTTAAATAAAAGAGTAAAATTCTTCTCTGAATTATGACATACTGGGGGAGATTTACTAAACAGGAGAATGCAAAACCCGAGGCAACTCTGCATAGAAACCAATAAGCTTCCAGGACCAATTTCATGTTTTTCAGCCTTGGATTTGGTGCTGTGTAATTTGCGGGCAGCAGACCTCAAAAGCAAGGACACTCTTCTCATATTCTACCCAGGCAGCCCAGGCAGAAGGTCTTGGAGGTAAAGACTTGACTCACATCCTCTCCAGGTAGCAGGCCAGAGAGGTAAAGGCAAGGATCCCCCACACCCAGGCAAAAGCCCTTCTAGGAGGCCACTCAATATATTTATCTCCTTCTCCAGCATGCATCCCTGGAAAAAAACCTCTAAGGCCCCATTCACATCTTAGCCATTTGTGGCTCGAAGCTCAAAAACGCTTGAGGAGAAAATCAATTATTCTCAATGGAGATGGTTCACACCTCCACTCCAAGTCGCCTGAAGCCAAATGCCTGAAGCTCAAATAAATTCTGGAACTTTTTTTATGCATTAAATATATTTATAACTCCTTACATTGTGTCTTTTCTCTCTAACTTCTCCACAGCAGCAGGCAGAAGTAATCATGTCTAGGAAAATCCTCAGGGAAAAGTAAACAATAAGGACTTAGGTTGACTATGGTCTAGCTGCAAATACTACATTTGACCAAAGGACAGTTCAGCTTATGGCATTCGCAATCATCTGCATTCAAAATTATAACATACTCACACCATTCACATGCTTTATAACTGTTTAGTTATCCATCTTCAAAGATTGAATGGCCTTAGACTCTTCCAATAGGATGTTACTAAAACCTCTATATCTGGTTCAAGGTTTCAAAGCAACCAGATCTTCTACTGACTTTTGAAAGCAATCAATGGCCAAACTATATGAATAAATACGTTCGTCATTCTCAGGTTGTTGAGTTATGTAAAATTCAGATTTAATGAGTTCATCAGTTGTCAAAACAACATCAGATAGGTTCAAGACACTACCCAGTGCTATATGTTGTTGTTCTTCTTTACGTTGTGTGTAATGCTTTTTGCCTTTGGCATCTTCTCCCTGCCCATCATTTCTTTTTACACCTTTTTTTTGCATCTTTTTTGGAGGTAGTCCATTTGGGAATATGTAATATTTGGTATTTCCAAGTTTTTTGACAGCTCAGTTTCTCTATCATCCCTATAATGATCCAGCCTAATTTGTTTCTGAAGCATCTGATTGTGAAGAAAGTCTCAACAAAACTAAAGTTCACAATTTTCCCCTGTATTTAATATAGATTTTAAGCTCTTTTATCAATAAATGACCTTACTTTGACTTCATATACTATACCATCTTCATAGTCCTCAATGTCCCTTTGGTACTTCACTTATTTATATCCAAAATTGAAGCTTTCAAATTAGCCAAATCAGATTTCAGTCTATTATGTAACTCATCAAAAGCTGCTGCTTATACTTTTCCAAGGATGTCTTTTGACACTAATTTGAGTTTGCAAATTATCCAATGTTTTATCTTTTCATGCAGAACAATTAAGGTGCAAAGAACAGTTACTTAAGGTAGAACTATAGGAAAAAATTTTTTTTCATTTTGGTTAGAGTAAGGGAGGGTTATAACCCCTGTCAGATTTTTGTTGCATTTGAGTCCCATTGCAGAGATTTCCCTTCACTTTCTGTCCCATAGCCAAACAGGAAGTGAGAGGAAATCCCTGCAAATTAAGGGAATTCCTTGTGGACTCCCAGGTCACCAGAAGAAGTGTCCCCATTGGAAGATTTCCCCTCTATTATTTTTCTGGGGACAACCCAAAAATTTAGGAGTTCTTTTACTTTCACTTATAATGGTAAACAGGAAAAATAGAGAAGGTGAATCTGCTTAGCGGGGACACAGAGCACGATACAAACTGACAAGGGTTCTAAACCCTCACCATCTAAAACTAGAAAAAAAGTTTTCCCTTTAGTTGTACTTTAGTCCCAGTTCACACTGATGTGCTGCAGGAAATGCAATTCCTGTGCAAATCACACGTGACAGTGTAAACCTAGGCTTAGAGTGTATGTAAACTCTAAAAACCGTATATCTGCTCCCCTTTGGTCTGTTTAATGTATCATTGGAAGCATTTTCTAATATCTAATAAAAAATAAAACCTGTTGATCTTGTCAGAAATTCTGAGCTGTTCTGTTACCTCTCCAAATTCCTGTGTTATCTCTAAGAGCCACATGGTTCTCATTTTGGACTACAGAATCATTAGCCTTTATGTTGTGGAGATCTGAGAGTGGGATCTGTTGAGAAGTTTAGCGTCCAGTAAGTCACTGGGCAGGACTGACAACACTTGGCCCACAAAAATGCTGTGTGTTGTCAGTACACAACAAGATTTAGTAGCAGATTGAATTTCTGGCAGAGACAGGTATTTTTTCTATACTTGCAGGGTCTATCAATGAGTGAAACATGGGGTAATGTGCATGTATTGCAGATATACTGCGGATTATTTTATTTTGCCTTGCATACACTTTAATATCTGATTCCACTCTGTTGAGATCATCTGCAATCCTCTAGATATCAATTTGCTTAGAAATATACCTTTCCAAGCTTGTCGAATCCCCCCACACTCTGAATTCTTAGCCCTGGTTCACACTGATGCGGTGTGGAATTTTCAGCGTTTTCTGTGTGAGTTCCGCATCGCATCAGAATCACACCCTGTTCATGCGAACCACTGCAGGTGTGTATGTTTAATAACACCCCAAAAGCGGTCCGCAAAACGCGGTGCGATGTGCAGAATCAGATCACATAAGTGTGAATCCCCATGTAATCCAATTTTAGTGCGGACCAAAAAAGGGTCCTGCACCTTTTTAGTGTGGGTGTGGTGCGATTAGAGCCATACAAAATGTATAGCTCCAATCGCCCTGCACGCAAATCGCATGTGACTTGCACAGGAATGCGGTGCGGTTCCTGTGCGAATCATATGCAATATACCACACTGCATATATGTGAACCTAGACTCAGGGCTCTTTCACATGTCTGTTTTTCATCCAAACGGACACACATGTATTTCTATGGACTAGTGGATGTAAACAGCTTATCATCCATTTACATCCTTTAAAGTCCGCATCTGTTAACATCCATTTTTTTAGTGGAAGAAAACCCTATTTTTCTTCCATAAAAAAACAGAACGGATGAAAAACAGATGGAAACGGATGAATAACGGATATAAACTGATGAAAAAACTGATGTAAACTGATTCATTTTTTCTGTGAAAAAACATGACTGAACTGATGAAAAAAACGGAACGCCGGTGTGAAAGGACCCTTATAACATTAAGGACTTGTTTAAACTGGTGTCGCCCTTTAAAGCTAAATTCATGGTGGATCAGTTTTCAGAAGGCATTTGACAGGCAGTAAGGAGGTGTTGTCACAAATGTGTGCATCGCACGCAGTTGTAGAGCAGACCTATTCAGTTCAATGGGTCACGTTTGGTGTGAGATACCGCCAGCCAAACACAAGAGTCCATTAGAGTCTCCATATCCATCTGTTGAAGAGTGGTGGGATTTGATACGGACCCTCTAGGTGAACTCTATGAGCTAATTCCCTAGAAGATTATACAGAAATCTGAATAATGTGAAATGAGTGACCTTTGTGACTTTATCACAGTTGCTGTGTTTACTAGACAATATTGGTAGCTCACAGATCAATACTACTTTTACTTGATGTATGCAATTATTCTCTCATTTCTGGGGTGTAAGGGAGGAATTTTTATCTCTATAATAAATCTCTATAATAAAAGTTTCTTAAATTGTGTCTTGCAGGAATACAAGAACACTGGCACTGGAAGGTCTTCAGGCAGCACAAATCCAGGCAGAGCAAAATATTTATACATTATAGTATAAGACATTTTGTATATCATTGACACTTATCAGTTTATTTTAATCAGTTGTTTGAATCGTTGTTTTTTTCATTTCAGTCTGTTGACATCTCAGTTATTCTGGCCAAAAAGATCTGTCTACCCCAAAAATGTTACCCTAAAAAATAGAAAAAATAGTCTTGATAATGTTGAAAGTTTTGTTTGCTATTACTTCTATTACCTCCTCCCTAGCTAGAGATGAGCGAATCGAACTTGGCGAAGTGGAATTCGTTTAGAATATTAGGAAAAAATTGATTCGCACCGAATCTGAATTTTAGCAAACTTCGGATGCATGAATCGAATTTTCCCCGATCAGCCGGCAAAAGTGTCACTGCAGAGAGCTCCGCTATTTCTGACAGTTCTCTGACAGTTCTGACAGTTCATTTACAGCGGTTGAAACATTGTATCTATTTGTTTCCATTTAGGATACAGATGTTTTTATTCGGAAATAAATAGATACAATGTTTCAACCGCTGTAAATGTGAAGGAACTGTCAGAGAACTGTCAGAAATAGCGGAGCTCTCTGCAGATACACTTTTTGCTGTACTGGAATTCTTCTTCTTTTCATTCTTCTTCTTCTTCTTCTTTTCATTCTTCTTTTCATTCTTCTTCTTCTTTTCATTCTTCTTCTTCTTCTTTTCATTCTTCTTCTTCTTCTTCTTTTCATTCTTCTTTTCATTCCTCTTTTCATTCTTCTTCTCATTCCTCTTCTTTTCATTCTTCTTTTCTTCTTCTATTCATTCTTCTTCTTCTTTTCATTCTTCTTTCTGCTTTTTATTCTTCTTCTTCTCCTCATTCTTCTTTTCTTCTTCTTTTCATTCTTCTTTTCATTCTTCTTCTTCTTCTTTTCATTCTTTTTCATTCTTCTTTTCATTCTTCTTCTTCTTCTTTTCATTCTTCTTCTTCTTCTTTTCATTCTTCTTCTTCTTCTTTTCATTCTTCTTTTCATTCTTCTTCTTCTTTTTTTCATTCTTCTTTTCATTCTTTCATTCTTCTTTTCATTCTTCTTTTCATTCTTCTTTTCATTCTTCTTCTTTTCATTCTTCTTCATTCTTCTTCTTCTTTTCATTCTTCTTTTCATTCTTCTTCTTCTTTTCATTCTTCTTTTCATTCTTCTTCTTCTTTTCATTCTTCTTCTTCTTCTTCTTTTCATTCTTCTTCTTTTCATTCTTCTTCTTCTTCTTCTTCTTTCTTCTTCTTCTTCTTTTCATTCTTCTTCTTCTTCTTTTCATTCTTCTTCTTCTTTTTCATTCTTCTTCTTCTTCTTCGTCGTGCCCCGTGACTGCCCAAATGAGTGAAGTGTGCGGTGATTCTAAGATCGACGGCACTCATCTGCATGTCATACTGACTGACAGTATTATTTCTCTTCCCCAGCAGACTCCAAGGGCATTTAAATTAAAGGTACAGTGTTCTGCACTAATATAAAGGCTCTCTGAAGCCTAGAAACCCTTTTAATAAGTTAAATTCGCGGCGAATAAATTCGCATTGAATCGAATTTCTCCCGCAAATTCGGCGAATCAGCCGAATCGAATTTTTGAATAATTCGCTCATCTCTATCCCTAGCATAACAGTGATGTACAATTGTATCTCAATTTGATAGGCAAGGACATACACCTATAGATAACAGAGTGAATTATTTATAACCATGGATCTATCAGATATGAAACAATTATGCTTCAGTGAGTGAAATATATCTACAGTTAGGCTTATTTCACATAGGCAGCTGGGGAGCAGTAAAACTAGGAGGCTGAGTCATAATATGGTCAAGGAGAAGTCTCTATTTAATCCCATTTGCTCTGAATAAAGATTTTGCCACATTTTTAGGGCTCATTCGCACTACAACGCACATAAAAACACAACAAAACACAAACAAATCAAACACAGGCTTTGCCCTCCCCATCACTGTTTTTCTCTTGGAGTCAGGAAAACTCCAGCAGACGAAAGAGGCAGCAGACAGAAATGACACTTAGTACTCTGGATTGAGACAAGTACACACTATAGAGGGATATGCTTTTTTCATATTTCATGACTGAGATTTACAATCACAATTCACCAGCACATTGGGAATGTGTTTAGCAACATGCTCTTGCAGCACCTGGATCCTTGAGTTAATTTCACAAAGACTGCTATCTCCTTGTGTGTCCTCCGAGCGCTTGGTTTGTCTTTCAAGTGCACTGGTTTCCTTACATAATAAATTATACTGGCAGGTTCATTGGATTCCCCTGATCTTGCAAGATCATGTGTATGACTGTAGCAGGGACACTAAAACTTAAGCTCCTGAGAAAAGTGTATTTGTATGTTTATACAATGCAGGGGCGGACTGACAACTCATGGGGCCCCTGGGCAATAGGGGATCATGGGGCCCCTGTGCCCTTGCCCAAACGCAAAAAAGCCTATGAAAAAGGTACCAGGGGCATCTCATGGGGCCCCCTACTGCCCTCAGGCCCTCGGGCAGTGCACGAGTTTCCAAATGGTCAGTCCGCCCCTGATACAATGCAAAGAGATTTGTAATATTTTACTGTGATGAATAAACCGTTGTTTTTTTTTTCTTCAATTGTGTTCTTTACTTTAGGTTTTAACTGCTTGGCCACAGCAGACCTTTTATACTAGAGATGAGCAAGTGTGTATCTAGAACCATTGGTGCATCACACACAAACACAAACTAAAATATAGAATCATTTATTCAACTTACAGTGCCTTGAAAAAGTATTCATACCCCTTGAAATTTTCCACATTTTGTCATGTCACAATCAAAAACCTAAATGTATTTTATTGGGATTTTATGTGATAGACCAACATAATTGTGAAGTGGAAGGAAAATGAGAAATGGTTTTCAAAATTTTCTACAAATAAATATCTGAAAAGTGTGGCGTGCATTTGTATCCAGTCCCCTTTATTCTGATACCCCTAACTAAAATCTAGTGGAAGCAATTGCCTTCAGAAGTCACCTAATTAGTAAATAGAGTCCACCTGTGTGTAATATGGGCAGCACAGTAGCTAAATGGTTAGCACTTCCGCCTGGCAGTGCTAGGGTCATTGGTTCAAATTCCACAGCACCACCTGCCTGGAGTTTGCATGTTCTCCCTGTGCCTCTGTTGGTTTCCTCCCACACTCCAAAGACATGCTGGTAGGTTAATTGGATCCTGTCTAAAAAATTGCCCTAATTTATGTGTATGTATGAATGTAAGTTAGGGACCTTAGATTGTACGCTCCTTGAGCATTAGGGACTGATGTGAATGTACAATATATATTTGTAAAGCGCTGCATAAATTGGCAGCACTATATAAGTACCTGAAATAAATAATAAATATAAATAAATTTAATCTCAGTATAAATACAGCTGTTCTTTGAAGCCCTCAGAGGTTTGTTAGAGAACATTAGTGAACAAAACAACACACCAGACAGGTCAGGGATAAAGTTGTGAAGTTTAAAGCAGGGTTAGGTTACAAAAAAAATATATCCCAAGCTTTGACCATCTCACAGAGCACTGTTCAATCCATCATCCACAAATGGAAAGAGTATGGCACAACTGCAAACCTACCAAGACATGGCCATCCACCTAAAGAGACAGGTCGGGCAAGGAGAGCATTAGTCAGAGAAGCAGCCAAGAGGCCCATGGTAACTCTGGAGGAGCAGCAGAGATCCACAGCTCAGGTGGGAGAATCTGTCCACAGGACAACTATTAGTCATGCACTCCACAAATCTGGCCTTTATGGAAGAGTGGCAAGAAGAAAGACATTGTTGAAAGAAAGCCATAAGAAGTCCCATTTGCAGTTTGCGAGAAGCCATGTGGGGGACACAGCAAACATGTGGAAGAAGGTGCGCTGGTCAGATGAGACCAAAATTGAACTTTTTTGGCCTGAAATCAAAACGTTATGTGTGGTGGAAAACTAACACTGCACATCACCCTGAACACTCCATCCCCACCGTGAAACATGGTGGTGGCAGCATCATGTTGTGTGGATGCTTTTCTTCAGCAGGGACAGGGAAGCTGGTCAGAGTTGATGGGAAGATGGATGGAGCCAAATACAGGGCAATCTTAGAAGAAAAACTGTTAGAGTCTGCAAAAGACTTGAGACTGGGGTGGAGGTTCACCTTCCAGAAGGACAACACTAAACATACAACCAGAGCTACAATGGAATGGTTTAGATCAAAGCATATTCAGGTGTTAGAATGGCCCTGTCAAAGTCCAGACCTAAATCCAATTGAGAATCTGTGGAAAGGCTTGAAAATTGCTGTTCATAAATGCTCTCCATCCAATCTGACAGAGCTTGAGCTATTTTGCAAAGAAAATGAGCAAAAATTTCACTCTCACAGTGAAATGTGGTTCTACAAAGTATTGACTCAGGGGGGCTGAATACAAATGCACACACTTTTCAGATATTTATTTGTAAAAAATTTTGAAAACCATTTATCATTTTCCTTCCACTTCACAATTATGTGCCACTTTGTGTTGGTCTATCACATAAAATCCCAATACAACACATTTACGTTTTTGGTTGTAACATGACAAAATGTGGAAAATTTTAAGGGGTATGAATACTTTGGCTGTGTGTACAAGGGTTCTTGTTAGAGATATCTGTCATGTCTGTGATAGCCCATGATTAATCACTAGTAATGGCTACACATGCAATTGTACATAGTGGCGACTGATCACACAAATTCGAAGCATCATGTTACCATGATTTATTTCTACATGCTACATCCTATGCTCCCTGTTTAGTGAGTAATCACTAGTGATCACTACAAACAGTCATGGGTAAGGATTGTTCTTGCAAAAAAATGCCTGCTCAGTCTTTGGATATTTATTTTTTGCAAGTATAAAATAAATTAACATCAATACACAAAATATTTACTTCATGAACATGCATAATGCACTTTTGGCTTAATTTGGAGACCAACATATTCTTAGTGGAGAGAAATTCAGGGTTTTATAATTTTTTTACGCAATTAC